ATAATGGAAATAGTAAAAACGCCCTACATGATGAATAAATATGCCGTATTGTAAACATTCAAGATGTAAAAATCTTATCTAATAGTCAAAAATTTAAAAAAAAAATATGAGAAAATTAGAAATCTTACTTAAATGACTAGAAAATTGTTTGAAGCCGATGAATATCTCTTGATAAAAAGGCTAACTGAACACACAGCAATAAACGAAGTATCACAGTACCATTAAATGAGGAATTAAATAACACAATTACAATCATCAGCTTACAATATCTCGAATTCTTCTAAACTGGGCAGACAAAAAACTCTAAATTTTGAGAATCTCCTTTTATGAAGAGGCCAAAAGATCTGCAGTACAAATGTTTTTTAGTTATTCCTTCAGATAATCTACGAATAATTCCTCTGGACAATCAAAATTCATGTGATCCTTTTGAAAATGCTTCTCATAATCGAAAATGTAAAAAATTTTCCACAAAAATAAGGCCATTTCCACAGCAGTCAGAAAAAGTTTCGCCCACAGAACAGTTTTTCTGCTAAATTAGACTGCTCCCACAAAGCTAACTGATATCCGTATTTTTACAAATATAACATATTTTTATCATATGAAGCAAAAAATTGCACATTAGTGAGAAAGAACCTTGCCAACAACCGGTGGACAACGCGTATTCGTAAGCGATATTCAAGGGGAACTAAATGACCACTCGGACGACCCAAATGAGGTGGTACACATACATCGAACTGGCGTTGGATACTAACTGGAGGCATGCAGTCCAGGAGCGAACGGTCTGGTTATATCCATCTTCGATGTGTGAGAGCATCCTAGTAACATTTCTAACACGGGATACCGGAAGTGACACCCAAAGCAGTCCTGGTATAGAAAGGCAATAGAAGGCCGACGCAAAATTAAACGGCCCAAGTAGGGCCGCCGAAGAGGGTGAAACTGTCAAGTGATTTTTTGCGGCCGTTGATAGGCCGAACGGTACTTTCTGAAGTGACGGCCCGTACAAACCAAAGAAAATTCAGGACGGCTGAATTCCTCAACTTTTAAGGGTCGGAGGGTGGAATTTGCTAGTGAATTGTGATAGCTGACAAGATGGCTGGTATTCCTGGTACACTGTACAAAGTCTGAGCAAACTTACCAAACGCTGATATGAAGGCTAATAACGTCCAAGTATTTCAAAAGTTCTCAGTAAAGAGGCTGAACCGCTGAGCTACTAACTTTTTCAAAAGACAGAACTAACCCTAGAACCACCGGGCAATGTATCACTGGTAAAAAATAAATACATAAAAAGTTACTAGCAACATAGACCGAATCATGTCACGAATTAACAGCTGTTCCAGGTATTTCAGACAAGTCAGATAAGTTAAACGCTTTCATATCAACAAATCCAAAATGCTTTTAAAAAAGCAGACGTGGAGCGTTGATGGATTTTGCATATTCGTACGCAAAAGGGAAGGATCGTCGAAGGCTAGGCCTTTTTTCCCAAAAGAATTCAAAATTGAATTAAAAATACTGAATTAAATTAAAATGAATTCAACACAAGCACGTAGGCAAAAATATTGAAGCTGCAGCATGTCAAGAAACCGGTTAAATTAGCAATTTCTTTTCGATCGTATTCTTTAAAATATCCAAACTTTCCAAAAGCGCATCCGCAAAAATGGTCGCATCACGCTGCCCCTGAAATAATGAAACAAAGTCATATCAGCTTTTATTTAACAACCCTCAGCAATTTTTGACAGCAATGACCCTAGTCTTTCAAAAAATCTTTTTTGTCCGGAAAGATACATTTTGGAAGCAGAATGTTTTGAAAGCACCAAACATTCACAAATAAAATTATGCATAAACTAGAAGGAAATTAATTATTCACAAATAAAATTAAACGCCACAGGACCTCTCCTTAGTAGGGATACTTCCAGCAACTACTGAGGGGATAATTCTTTGGCTACGCGAATAATAGACTAAGATATGAATTGCACTGAGAAGTCGTATACGCCGAGAAACAGATGTAATACGACTATTGTTGCGGAAAACCCAAAAAAATCTGGCTTGTAATTCCTACGATTTCAGTCCCAAAATTTAATAAGTCTGAAGTACAGAAACAAAACATGAAATAGTGCTGTTGTGGAAAACCCGCAAAAAGCCACCAATTATTGAAAGGATGTACTGCACAGGGTGCAGCAGCCAGACATTACAGAGTCTGTATGAGAGTGTCATAA